TGGAAAATTTGGTATGTCATTACTGCCACAGTAGTTAGTCTATATATGTATTGGTGCATGTATTTATATTGGTGCATATATTTATATATGTGAGTATGTGCGCATAAAAATGTGTGTATATATGTGTGTATATGTTTATATGTATGTACGTGTATATGTACTTGTTATCATAGATATGTATATGTGCGTATATGTTTATATATTTATATGTATGTATTTCTGTGTGTGTATATGTATGTATATATATATATGTATGTATATGTGTGTTAATTTGTGTTTGCTGCCGCGTGTATATATGTATATACATATGACAGTACACTTATTTCTGTGGGTTTCTTTATCCTGTTTTTCTTCGCCTAATATATAATGAAACTATTATCAACTTATATGATTAAAATATATTTTTATTGATATTTGTGGTTTTAGAATTTTCGTTTTAATATATTAAATAATATTATTTTTAACCATTTTTATCTTTGTATATTTGCACGCTTAAGTTATATTTTAATAAGTGGTTAACATTTATTTAATGATACTTTAAGTCTTAAATATTTAATGGTTGTGGTATCTGATTGTCTAGGTCATTGTCTGTTGATGTGTGTACGTGTTTTTATCGGTGTCTATGTGTATGTAGAGTGCATTCACATTTAATTGTGTGTGTGTATAGGTGTTGGTTTCCCTGTTTCCTTTTTTCATAAAGGGCTGTGGAGATGTTCCTGTCTCGTCGCTTTTTTGTGTGTATATATATCTAAATATGTCTGGGGGGTTATGTATTATAATCTGACTGTGTTTTTGTTGTTTTGCACGTGAGTTTAAGACCACATTCACACACTTTAGAATAAAAAATATACATACATGTATTGTCAAATGACCGGATATTGTAGTATCTTGTCGAATGTAATTTCAACGAAGAAATAAACTGAATAACATAGGTATTTTTTCTTTTCTCAATAATTTTATAGTTTTTAAACTTAATAGTGATTATATTTGGATTTTAAAATTGGCAGGTTTTAATTTTAATATTAAATTTTATCATATAATTTTATAATTACTGGTTAGTATAAATTCTTTTTAATATTACCCGTATTTTAAAGATCTGAATAGCTATTATAACATGATTTCATTGTCAAGCTTTTGAATCTTCCTATACTTGGATTCGGATTGGTTATTCTAGCTATTGTAACAATGTTTCAAACTAGTGAAGGATCGTTAATTAATTTGAAACTTTTAAAACCATTTATTTTATCTTCAACATCATCACTTGATAAGACACCGAGGGTGTGGAAACAAAATGGCTATTTTTGTAGTGATTTTATAACATATTTATGCTATAAATTTTTTTATAAATAATAATTATATCTGCTCTACTTTGTATTGAGCACTCTTTTAAGAAGAGTAATTGTTCGTTATTGGAATTCATTCCGTATATACCAATTATATACTTGAATATATATATATATATATATATATATATATATATATATATATATATATTAGCAGTGTCAGTGTATGTATACACACATGTGCACTCACAGAACAGTGAATCATAGAAAATAACAAGTGTAATATATTAGTCATAATGTACATTTGTCAATAAATGTGATTGTAAATAAATAAATTCACTTTAGATAATAAATTGTCACCAGTCATCATCTGCAGACATATTTCTTGTTATTTGGATTTCATTTGAAAAAAACATCAAGGCAGACCAACGTAAAAATAGCTTTAATTGAGTTTTTTTTTAATTTTATCAAATGAAAATATGAATCAATAAGAAAGAATTGCACAAATCGCTTTTCAATGCAAATGTCATCCACAAAGAATGAATATTTATGAGGATCTTTTATAAATGCAAACAATATTTTCATTGCATTTGAGAAATCCTGATTTGATTCCATTTCTTTCAGTTGTAGCAGCAGAAAATTTCAACAATAACCAACAAATATTTCAGTTCAATTAACAAAATAAACACATGCCAAAGCCTTAAAAATCAAAATGCAATCAAACATGAAGTCAACAATCTACTTATTAAAGAAATGAAGATCAAACAGAAGTCAACAGTCTACTTATTAAAGAAAAACAAACTTCTATTCTATTTATTGATATACAGTAAACAAATGATGTACCGATTAACGAACAAAATGATCAAAACTAAGTGTTCTGGAGAGGCATTCAGTTAATCTCTGATTTGCTCAATCATTGGTGGATACTCACATGTCACCTTTTTTTATACTACGATGGTGGGCTAAAAACTTCATAGGCTGACTATGAAGAAGAAATGCTAGAGCTGTTAAATTTTGCATGCATTAATTTCAACTCTTATTAATAACTGCATTGATTATTTCCAGGTAAACTGACATCTAATTGTTCAAAGAAGACTTTACATCCTATTTGTCAAAAATGTCATCACTATGATACTGGTTCCCAATCAAGTGTTTTTTCATATGAGCAAACAGATGATAATCAAAACAGGAGAATAGGAAGGGTGATCAGCCATTGAAACCAGGGACATGTATACTGGAGCATTGTCTAGTTTTCCTGAGCATTTGGCCATGATAACCTTTCATAACTGTCTCAGCAAGTTCACATAGTACTCTCCATTGGTGATGTGGCCTTTTTGAAAATAGTCAATAAACGAATGCCTTTTGCATCCCCAAAAACTGTGGCCATCACCTTTCCTGTCGATGAAGCAACCTTGGCCTTCTTTGGAACATTACTAAGAATCACTAAACATAGAGGGCTACTGTGTGGTGTTGAAAGAAAGGGCAAGAAGTGAAGTTCATGAGGCTATCCAAGAAAGATAATGATTGACCTTAGACTTGAAGAGGTCAAGATTGTAGTGATTGTGAAAGCATCCTGCTGAGAATCTGTTCCACAAAACAACAGTCCTTGGGAAGAAGCTATCTGAATGGAAATCACTTCTTACTAATGGAACATGAAGGGAATGGGGATGCAGTGGATTAATTGTTGTCTTATCAATTCAAAAGTAAAATCAAAAATATAATTTTAACAGGATTTTCTTTTATTTATGTTACCAGATTAAATGAAAAAATTACATTAATTAAACTTAAAGTTAAAATTAAACTTTTAATCACCTTTCTGCACTGATAGTCTTTGAAACTGATGGTGAGACAATAACTTACTTGGTCATTTAGATGTAAAATTCCTAATTTGCATATGTACTTAATTCTCATAAAACTTACAAGTTCTAAAAAAGATTTTCTGTGAATTATTTTTTGTCTGTAAAGCTAAGTTTTGAGAAACAGAGGACAAAATAATTTAAAGAGATGATAGACTGATAAATTTGAAAGATTTTGACCAAATTAGCAATATTGATAAGAATGAGAACAAAAAATCTGATAGGTTTGTGTTAAAATATTACCCAAAGATGAGACATTTAGCAGAAGTTGATTGACAATATCAGTATAAAAGTTGTTTTTTTAGCGTTTATACAATTATTTATGTGATATAGTTTGTCAATGATGATGTTTCATTTTCATTAGTGATTCTAAAATCTAACAGTTGTTAAAAAAACATCAATGGGTAATGTTAGTAATCAGTATTAGAAGTCTCTAGGACAGTTTTCAAAGCTATTGGCCCCCTTTCCTTCCTTTTTCTCTGTATATGATTCATCAAATCCCAATGTGGGTGATAAAAATCAAAATAATCTCAAGCTATATTTATTATACTTTCATAAATTCAGAATGTTATTACCATACACTGAGTTTATACTGCAATCTGCTTTTCTTCCAATGATAATCTTCAAGTAAAACACTTCTCAAGCAGCTTACGTCTCAGATATTGGAAAATACATTAATTTCAGAAATATTCATAGTTATAAATAGGGATGTAGATATTGAGCAAGTAATAAAACCTGACAAAATTTTTATGCTTTTTATGAGTCTATTTTTCTTGTGAGATTCAGTATGTAATGTATATGTGGGAGGTGGTAGGAGTAAGGCAGAAATTGCCACATTGTGTTGTTGATGTTCTGGTGATATAAAATACAAAAGATTCATTGTGTTCTCTTAAGTGTATTTCCAAATGAACAATTCACCTGAAACAGAAATTATTTTATAAATTAAAATGACGATAAGAGAAAATGAAAAATACATAAAAAGCAAGCATTACAATTAAGTTCTTAAATATTTTGGCTACTGAAAAATGAAGTGATTCAATTATATTTGCTGTCATTTATGGAATTGTTTTTTTTTTATATTTTTTTCATAATGGTTTCTTCATTTACAGAATGTTTTTGATTTTAGTTCTTGTTGCAATATTTACTAAAGTGGTGGCACTCAGCAATGAGTTACATTAGCAAATTGGTCTTTGATCTGAGCTGTGTTAACCATCATACTTCATTTGGCATCAGAGTACTTGTTGTAAAATAACAAATAAACTAATTCAGACATGGTACTGTATGCATTAGATTTTCAAATTCTGAAAAGGGGCTCCATATTTATAGAATCTCTTTGAACAATATATTAAAACATAAGTATTATAAGATTCTAATTTTAGACTTGTACTGCAGAAGAGAGAGTCATTCAAAATGTAAGGTTAATTTTTGTAGAAATCAGTTAGAAACATAAATTATGAACATTTGATTAAAAAAAATGATACTTTCTGTTCTACTTTTAATATTTCATGAAAATCAAAATTAAGCTGTTGGATACTATGGATTAGAGAGAGAACGAAACTATGACAGAAAGAAGAGTTTGGTTGGTTGGCTGTTTCTGTTTAGTGGCATTTCAAACTCTTTGGATTATTTAATGCTGAAATCTTAATATATTGTAAACAATTTTATTTTTTGGAGATCATATGGTTTTAGTAATACAAGTCTTATTGATTAATCCATAGCTGGTGGGAGAAGATGTGGATACATACTTTTCCTAAGGGTATGCACGTGTAAGTGAATATAATAAACTCAACTAGAATTGGAACTTACCACTCTGATTAACAATTCTGAGTCATTATCCATTATACCATCCACATACCCAATCTTACAGCACCTGGTATTCCCAAGCAGTCACACATCTATGTACTGACCAGGCTCAACATTGCTTAACTTTGGTGATTGTATGGAAACTGGTATTACAATATGATGTAGCTCTAAGTGAAAGAAGAGGTGAAATAAACAAGGTGAGTTTAGTTTCTCACAGAAATAACTGAACTAAATAGGGATTAGTAGAAAATAAGAATTTATCTGATAATATTTCTGTGAAAACAGAAAGCAAATAACTTCACTGAAAAATTAGTTCATGTATGTGGTACTCTTATGTATGTGGAAATGTTTGTGGGAACTGCTTGCCCGGTCAGACTTACTTGATATGTCTGTTCTATTCTTGTTCTTCATGTAAGAGTATTTTCCTGTGAATATTGTTGGGTGTGCACTATTAACTTTGGGAGATCTGGGAGCCATTGTTGGGAAAAAAAGATTTTCCTTCAGTTCCCTAGCTTCTTCATTGGTTGAGTAGCATCACATAAGAGCATGCTGCAAAATATGCATATCTGGAGAAAGTTCACTTGGTGATGAAGCACCAGGTATCTCCAGGTGACATCAACAAGTCTAGAACCCTCATATATATGGTGAATTTGTTCTTTGAGAGTAAGTCTACTACTTTAGTGGTCATTATTGTGTGCTCCACATGTGTAGCCTTATGTCAAACTATATTAAGCTTAATAAATGAAAAAAGTAATAGAAACAAAAGTATTAAAATATCAAAGAAAGAGAAGTAACTTTTATGTAATAATGTTGTATTCAGAATTAGGTATTTGTAAGAAAAACAGATTTGGCCATTGATATAAATCACATTAGACATAATCTAAATGATAATAGTGAAGGCTGTGAATAATTTGAAATGAATTTATTAAATCAGATCTCTTTGTGATGTTAAAGGCAAAAGCACACTGAAGGGGAAAATAAGGGAGACCAATGAGAGGAACAAATTAGCCAAATGATTTCATTAAACAAACAACTTCTTAAGAAAAAAAGCATTCAACAGTTTCTTTGCAATATTATATCAATCTACAATTTGCCTGTTTGTATTTCATCTTGCTGATTCTTCCAGACAATTAATCTCTGTTGTTGTTGGTGGTTTTTTTTTCAGAATTATGACTATGAGAAATGATTCAACTGGAAATTCTCAAAAGAAAAAGAATGAAAAAGAAAAATCAAGTGTTAAGTTTTAGGGCAGGAAGTATGAAAACATCCATTTATAGTAAGTGATCAGAAGATCCAACTCCCTCCCCACAAAACACACATATACAATGTCTTTTTTGAATAAGATAAATTAAAATGAAAATGAAAAGAGCTTTAAAAGCATTGTTCAATTTACTCTTGGCAAAAGATTTTGAAATAAAAACAGTGTATATTTAGTTACAGCATTTAATTTTGAGAAATATTAAGCAATCAATGATAATGAGTAGCATTAAGCAATAATTTATAACACACTGGGTGTTTGGAATTACATAAGGAATAAATAAATAAATAAATAAGCCTATACAAAGTCTTCATAAAGTCAAATTTGAATTCATTAATTTTATAGTAAGAAAGTGATTAAAAGAAACAAAATGACTAACAAATGAACCCTATGATTATATATTTTTGATCTTTATAGACAAACAAGATAAGAGAATAATAACGTAAGGAAGATTGACATAAAAGAACCTTTTTCACTGAATTAGTCTGCATTTGATTGCATTAATTTTCCAAGAAAAATTCAGCATTCAAAATCCTTGTTTAACCTGAACTTGAACATTAATAAACTACATGGCATCTTAGCTACATGGCATGCCCAGATTTGATCAGTTTGACTAGGATATTTTATTTTGTTTTATTTAAAATATTGACCAAGAAGAAAATCAGATTAAAGTAAGGGCCGTTTTAAAATTCAGTAAATTTCTTTGGGAACACCTATAAATGTGTGTAAATGTTTATTTTGTGAATATTGATTTCTATAAATAGCAACACATAGCATTGTGTAGATTTGGCCCTCTACTCAACAGAACTTACTACTACTACTACTACATAAAAAGAGCTTGCTTTATTGTATTGGTTTGCAGGGAAACCTTGTAATTCAATGGCTAATATATTGAGTTAAATCCTCACTGGGCTCCCCAATATTATGGCATAATATCTCTAGATAACTCAATATTAATGTATATTTGGGAAGCAACCTTTCTTTTAAACATCTTTCATTAAATATAATGGACAAGGAAAGTTTTGTTAATTTTTTAAAAATTTTCCTAGTGTTCTTACATCTTTTTGTCTGTTGGGAGTGAGGGAGTACAAAAATTGTCCATACTGTCCATTTTGGACACTTTCAAGGGTGTTTTGTTTTGGTGTTGTTAGTTTCTCTTCATGTTTTGACTGTTTGAGATGTATTATTTTTGTGTTGTTTTGAATACTAGCAGGAGTGTTTATTCTGAACCTTCACATATTGAGTGTGACTGGAATTTGAGTGAGTGTCTTTCTATTTTTTTAAAACTTTCCATACATTTCAAACTCAATATATGTATATCTTTGTGCATTTATTAATATGTACTTTATATATATATATATATATATATATATTAGTAGTTTATATAAACTGGTTTTATTTGCATATATATATGTTTATGAATATATGATGGGATGCTGAAAAGTTCTTGACTTGACTCACTTCCTAAAATCTAACCAAATGTGCAAACATCAGAATTGTTTTTGAAAGGGTTTCTTAGTTGAGTGGAGAAATTTTCAGCACCCCCTCATGCATAAGTGTTGCAACAGTTTTGTATGTGCAAATATATATTTGTGTTTATATAAGCATATGTGTGTAAGATTCTGTAAATTCAAGTCTATCTGCTTCCTTACTCTCTCTGAACACATCTTTATGGTCAGCTGAAATACAAATAACCCTGAATATGACTTTCATAATGGCTGAAGATATCAAGATAAAATAGATTCACATTCATTTCTCCAATAATTGAAGACCTGAGATATATATATATATATATATATATATATATATATATATATATATATATATATATATATATATATATATATATATATATATATATATATAAGATATAAGTGGGGAAACTCAGGAAGAGAATAGGGCCACATATCTAGCATTTGATAGAATCTACATGTTCAGCTTGTTGGTGTTTATATCACCAAATTATAGGTTTCAGCTGATAAAGCAAGTTAGACTATGATGAAATAATCAATGGACTTGTCTTTTGCACTTGTACTCAGCAACAAATAACCAAAGCCAGATTTTCCAGATCTACACTAATTAAGACCAAGACACTTTAACTTGAATGATGAACTTATAATTTCAATCACAGTCACAAAAGACCAACAGAATTTGCAAATTGAATCTTGTTATTTGGAGTAATTATGGTGAAATCAACAGAATCCCTTTTAGAATGCTGAACAATTTAACTCTTTATACTATTTACATTGTTCACTTTTATCCACTGGGATAAAAGTGGATAAGTGGACAAAAGTGTTGGTTGAAGTAATCCACTGATTTGACACAAAGAGTTGTTAGTTCAATACGTGGCAGAGGTGAACAAAAACTTGGAGAGTTGAATTACTAAAGGGAAATAACTGAAACTGAGATATCCATAAAAGGCATGGCATTTGAAACTAGAACAATCTACTCAGTGGATGAAATAAAGGGTTTGGTTCAAAATTTAGATGTATATTACCTGAAGAAGGCCAGGGCATATAATGGCTGAAATGGCGTGAATATGATGATAAAGATGAGGACAACTGAATAGTGTAAATAGTTACAATACCTCATCTCAGAAATACAGACATAAATTTAACTCTTGTTATAAGATTATTTTTTTTTAAGCATTTCACCCCAAGCAAGGTGGGCATGCCATTAGCATGCAAGGGGTTACAGAGAGTGAGAGCAAGAGTAAAGAGGCATGTTTGAGGAAAGGATATAGAGAAGGAAGTGGATCAGGATCAAGGCATTAAAAGATGTTGATTGACATTATATTTGAAAATTATAGTTATCAGGGAAGCAAGTAAGAGGAAGGGAGTTCCACAGTTGGGACGTGCAAGAGAAGAAGCTGTTTGAGTAGAAGAGGCAGTTATATTTAACTGTTTTGACAGTGAAAGGAAATCAAATTGATTGAATAGAGGAGGGATTGTGGATTTGATGTTGTTCAGCACACTCTTGCAGAGCCACCAATAGTCTTTAGAACCAAACTTGCGAGATGTAATACGTTGATTCATTCTATCAGCAAATAGTAACTTTGCTTCATTGAGGACATGCTTGCACTCATTATGAACACAGACAAAGAGACGTCTATTGTAATCAGACATGTCACTCTGGTACAGATGGAAGAAGTGATTCCTATGGGCTATAGCAGCTGAGCAAGCAGCTGAGAACCAAGGAGATGAGTGTGATTTAACTTTATATTTTCTTGCTGGAATGAAAGCCTTGATATCAACTTTTATCCAGGAGGAGACTTCAGATGCACAATTTTGGAGAGGGTGATTAAAAACCACATTCCAGGGGGCGTCATGAAGGAAATCATGGGAAGATATTCCATTAGTAGGAGGCTCTTGGCTGGAGGGAAGTAGAAGGAGATGTTAACAGACACTATGGCATGATCAGAGTTGTCAAGAAGGCAAAGCTGCATAGCATGACAAGAGTTAGGGATGGAGGTAAAACAGAGATTGAGAAGGGAAGCATTGCCATCATGTAGGAAAGTCAACCACTTGTGTGATTGAAAAGTTAAGAGTTTGTATGCCAGTGAGGTCAATCACAGAGTGTTTAAGCCACATGATATGGTGGGCGTTAAAATCACCAAACATGAATGTAAAGAGATGGTCTTGTCTATATTTTCAGAAATGCTATCGAGTACACCACAGTCTTAAGAGGAAGTGGAATGATAGAGAAAGAATAGATAGCTTACTGAATTGAGGAGAGATAGACGGGGACACATATACAAATGACCTGGAGATCCAAGAGAGAGTTCTTTAGCCAGCAGGAGATGATTGTGGACATAAATTCCTAGGCCATGCATGTGGATTTTAGAGTCTTTTCTAAGGAGTGGGAGGTATCTGGGATTTGAAAAATCAGAGGAGGGC